ATGGAGTGTGTGATGGAATTATGGGTGGGGTGGGATAGGTGGGGGTGTGATGAAGTTGGGCTGGGGTGTGTAACAGTACATGTATTAATGTTGATGTTGTACTGGTTACACCACTCTGACCGTGATCGCTATAGGCTATGTCAAAGATGACAAGAAAACTTCACGCTGTAATATTTTTTAAAAATATTTAATCATCAACAACAATGAATAGAATGATGTTCGTAAAACAAGCTACGAGCTTTAAGGACCTATAATCTACAGAAGGGTTACTACTATTTCCTGAAACACTGGCTATAACGTTTGTCGAACAGACGACTATCTAGCAGTATACAAGAAAATCGTCACTACCCTTCGCCTAAGCTGGTCTAGTTCCTACCTATACGTCTTCTCTCTACTCTAGTCTGGTCTCTCTCTTTTCTTCTCTACTCTTGGTATCCTGGGGATATAAGGCCCTAGCGTCGTAATGATCCCGCTTTAATCATTCAGACTTCAATAGGTACATTCTGGATGGTTGTATCTTCTTTCCCTAGTCCCTAAGATCGTATGGGCTTTAAAGGCGTCAAATCGTTGTGCACTCCCACGCGTTTACAATTAAAAATGTGAACATTCATATACCCTTCATATTGCCTTTCGGCCTCATAATCACTTATATTAAATAATTGCTCCTACAGCCAACAGTTATTTAATGAACTGTTCACGTCTCACGACTGCTACACCAGTGACCATACGATGGGTCTTTGCCTGGTGGCTTACTGTATGCTTCCGCGGAAGCCGAGAATGTTTCCAAGTGTTAATAGAGGGTCTGCTGGGGTAATAATAGTTGCAAAGTGCATAGAGCATGCTCTTGAGCATGGATATGCGCTATATAAATGCAATTATTATTATTATTTACTTCATTCTGTGTACGTGGTATGGGCAGACAGTTCAGGTCTATTGAAAAGTAATACAATCTTATACAAGGATACTACATTACAGCGTATGTGGACAATACAAGTACCACACGACTCACTCATATTGTTATTAGCATTTAGTACAGGTTTGCAATGTGTTACAACATCCATAGAGTAGTGTGATGCGTCCTTATACCACAAACAATAATTCTCAGCACCCGCCAAAGCGCAGTACCCAGGACCAACCTGTCAGTTTTATCACAGCTAGCCGTAGACAAAATAGTCGTTAAGATATGCATACATCGCTGTCTGACTGTCTAGCACACTTTACCTCACCGTTCTTCAGATGATCTTGGTTTCTGCGGAAAACTGTAAGTCACACTACCGTAGCAGGGGGCAATCTGGTTTTGGAAAAAGAGTCCAGACAAAACATTCGCTATCAGCGCGACATATTAGGTATACTACTTAACATTGGTAGTTGACTAACCCTTTATATATGTCATAGAATTATTCTTTCTATGCCAGCAGTTCTTGGCACAACCTCACCACGGACACAGTATCAACCTTCCGGTCTGAAAGGAATCAGACAAATTCGCCCACTTGTTGCTACAAAGTATAGCCTACTTTCCGCAATAGGCTAAATACAGTTCAATCTCCTTTGCTCAGAGAAGTAATTGCAAACACATTATATGATTTTTCTTAAGATATAAAAGCAAGAAGTCAATTTAAAGTTTGATAATATACAGTCATGGAATGCTGATATCGTATCTTCGAGCGCGCGTTCCCCTTTACACATAAGGCGCACCCACATCCTGCATCACAACTCCACATGACTGAATAATAAGTAATGTAAGTACGGTCTCAACACCCTTCTGGTCACAGTTCTGGTAGAGGAGAGGCGTCGTCCACAGTCGCACGGCAGTCATCTTTAAGTGGAACGTTCTCCCCAACGTCAGTACAAAATGTCATAATTTAAGGACAGCTATTTAAAGATCTGGAGACATTGATAGCTGGTGGTGTCGATGGTCTTTGCCTGGAGGGTTATGTGGTTGATCGACGTCAGTTTGGGACTCCAGGTCGACAATTGAGACAACGACGTCGTCTGACGAGTTACCTGCTCGTCTGCCAGAACTAACCTGCCTACTGAGCTCACATAGAACATTCTAGACTACATTCCTATAACACATAGAGTAGAATTACTGCAAGGAGGACTACCTTGTCTATTTGATATCAAACCCAAGTGGAGAATGTCTTACCCTTTTTCGTCTTAATGTAGTTTATCTACCAATTTCCTCCTACCCATTTGCCTCATTCCTTCTTATTAGGGCAGAGAGGGAATCAGATGGGAGAAAGTCGGGTGTTTAGAAAGGAGGGGTTCTTACATTTTGGTGTGACACAGATTCAGACGAGCAAGGGATCCCTCTTTCTGGGAAGGCGGCCGGGTAGTTTTCCGACCTCCTAGACACAGAGGCGTTACGCCGTCCTGCTCCGTTATAGGCCAGTTGATGACACATGCGTTTGATATGGCCCGGGGCGCCACAGTGATAGCACGTAATTACATGACCACCTGGTCTGCACTGCACGACATTGACCGGTCGCGGAGAACACACCTGTGCTCTCGGGTGTGCACAGCCACAGTGTTTACACACTCTAGAGTGACGTGCGTGATCAACTTCCATTGGCTCTATTTGCCTTTCTGATTCCTTTGAATAATACGCAGTGGACCCCCTAGTGGCTGTGTCGGGGGGCTCGAAGGCCCTCCCTACACGGAGGTCGACTCCTCCCACAGTGCAATATGCACTGGTTAGCGTCGAGGGGCTCACCCGCATAAGTCTCCATTTAAGAGAGCCATGCAGCAGCCCGTCTGTAAAAACCCTGCCAACTGCTTTTCTACTAGCTCACTATTTATGTTCTGCCCAATAAAGGCTTCCTCCGCCAGATTTATCAATCTGTCCGCAAACATCTTCACTGTCTCTCCCTGTCTCTGTTTTTATCTTCTCAGAAATGTAAACGCATACTAGGGGTCTGTGATTTCTGCGAAACGAGTGGCGAGGTTGGATCGCAACTCCTGCCATGTTTCATCCTCATGCCCACCACTCGTCAATCGCCTCCTAATGTAATCCGAAACGAGGCCCTTGGCCTTGCTAGTTTGATATGCGATCAGCTTCATGGTTTTCTCTTCTAGGCCACCCACAATGGCATACTTCTCAATGGACTTTGTCCACTCGTTGAATTTTCTAGGGTCTCCCTCATACTGTGGAACCATTTGTCCCGCCCCCTGAATTTCCATTAGGTTTTTTATCTTCCCTACAGTTGAACTTAGCTTAGCTATCATGTCTTGAGGGGCCTCGGGTTTGGGGTTTGGGACATTATTCAGCATGTGGTCAAGTGAAGCTTGGTGATCAGGGGCTGCCATGATTCAATGAAACGATACAAAGGGGGGGGGAGGGTTAATTTGACTATGTAAAGCTCAGAATAAGGCAGGAATAGAACGGTCAGACTTACTGGTTTCTCGACGTAGATGTGTTGGAGATGTCCCCGGGCAGTTCAGCAACCAGGACGTCAAGTTGTCTTCGTCAACAACAGGCCACGATCAGCAACAGACCACAATCAGCAACAGGCCACGATCAGCAACAGTCCACGATCAGCAACAGTCCACTATCAGCAATAGGATACAATCAGCAACAGACACCATCAGCAACAGCAACAGTCCATGATCAGCAACAGGACACGATCAGCAACAGGGCACAGAGTTGACTTCTTTGACGGGCAATTTCGGTTAGAACTTCCTACTCTAAATCACAGCTAAACTTCGAAACAACACCGGAGATCCTGGTCATGTCACCAAATCGAGTGTGTAACCGTATTAATGTTGTTGTTGTACTGGTTACACCACTCTGACCGTGATCGCTATAGGCTATGTCAAAGATGACAAGAAAACTTCACGCTGTAATATTTTTGAAATATTTAATCATCAACAACAATGACTAGAATGATGTTCGCAAAACAATCTATGAATTTGAGGACCTATAATCTACAGAACGATAACTACTATTTCCTGAAACACTGGTTATAACATTTTTGTCGAACAGACGACTATCAAGCAGCGTACAAGAATATCGTCACTACCCTTCGCCTAACCTGGTCTAGCTCCTACCTCTATGTCCTCTCTCTACTCTAGTCTGGTCTCTCTCTCTTCTTCTCTACTCTTCGTACCCTGGGTATATAAGGCCCTAGCGTCGTAATGATACCGCTTTGATCATTCAGACTTCAATAGGTACCTTCTGGACGGTCGTATCTTCTTTCCCCAGTTCCCAAGATCGTATGGGCTTTGTTCGCGCCTAATCTTTGTGCACTCTCTCGCGCTTACAATTAACACGTAAGAGACGCTTCTTAATACCGTTCTTCGTCATCTTACAAATCACGGACTTGACCGATTCTGGGGCAGCAAGGTGTTATAAATTTTATACGCCCCACTCTAAGGTTCCCTGTCCTACAGGATGCCGCTCTGGGCAGTGGCGTCCAGTTTGTAATTACGCTTCTCGGGCGGGTAGCGGCGAGATGCTAACCTGGACAGTGGTGTGTCCAACAATACGAGGTGTAATTACGCTTCTCGCGCCGGTAGCGGAGTCCAGGGTACTAATTTCGCCAGGTATTTACGAGACATGAGCCCCCTGGCTTCACTTTGTCACAGCGGGTGTTTAGGGGCTGGGTGTGGGTGTGATGAAGTTGGGGGTGGAGTGTTAAG